TTTCAGAATAGACTACACGATAATCAGTATCACAACCTGAGTCAATACCGATCAGCGAAAGAGTATCAATCTTACGCCTATGTCGAAATGTTGCGTGATCCGCGGCGTCTACTGTAAATACTAGCATAGGGAATTTATTCGATATTATGCTTCTTCCGATATAGTCAAAATGAATGCCAGCACCCTTATTAAAATTAACCTGAATGGCATTGTTCTAACTAATCGAGTTTTCCAGGAGTTAATTCACTTAGTGGATCAAAATAGCGTGACTAAACATATGCTCAACTACCAAGTCAAATTTCGTCATAACCTTTGCAGAATATATCATAGACATACTGTACTACTTAACTTATACAAGAAATAGCATGCTTTGTGCCGACGACAAATCATGCAGCGGTAGAGGTCCCTTGTGCTTTAGCTCACAGGTATTTCCGTGAGGTCAGCAGCTCCTTTTTCGCAAGCTGAATGATTACCTTCATTGATTATATCATATATTTATGTGATTATCAGAACAGTCTATCACAGTCAACCACCATCTCCTTACCGACAACTTGCCCGAGTGGAGCTATACATTTAGACTGTAAGACGTGCACGCAGTGCACTTTAACGTTTACTAGGTGAATTACAAACATCAATGTACTTGAACAGTGGCAGTAGTTGCCGGGGTTTTCTAGCGAAAGCGCACATGGAGACATTAAAACATATCTAGCAGAATAAAAATGTCCTAATAACAAGGCCAGACAATGAAACTGGTGTTGTTGTAATGGAACGAGTAGAGTACATCGGGAAAATGCAATCAATTCATGCAGACAAAGAATAATTAAGCCAAACGGTGAAGAAGAAGAAGAAGAAGAAGAAGAAGGATCACACGGATGAGGTTGGAACACAACTGGCTGAATGACTCAAAAGACTTCCAAATGACGAATTCAGAAGCGAAAGTGACTATTATTATCGCCATTCCGCAGGAAGGCAAATATGCGGCTTAAAATACCACACTCTTCATTTAATCCTAGGCATAAAGACCTCACCGTATCATGCGATTGAAAAATGGCTAGCAGAAAACTCACGGCTTTAGAGATTCAGTTAGCTTACACAGCGTCCGAGCTCTTTCTGAGTTTGTCGACGATCGAAAAGACATCGATCTGAACGGTAGGCTGACGTTTACACTAGACATTTCTTCTTTCTCTCTCACGAACGTTCCCGTCACAAAAAACAGTTAATTACATTTATGCATTCATTACTCCGAATCAGCAGAACACATATTCCACCGGAGGCACTCAGGAAATTACTATTAATATGTTCCTTGAATGTGCATATTCAATTTGACAGAGGCAGTTAAACCGACTGGCTATGGTCGCACCCCTCGGTCCGCTTCTAACGAACATATTCATGACTACACTGTACGTTTCGCAACTTCTTCACCAGATGAAAGGTCTGACATATTACGAAGGGCTAGGTAACTGACATTTATTCGCGGTTGCATCTTAACAAACTAAAATTTCGGCCCTCTTGCTTTCCGTTAATCTGGCGCAC